GGGCCCAGTGTTCTTGATGACACTCATTCCTCTCTCCAACCGATGTGAGATCTCACATCGATTAGAGAGAGAACGAATGACAGCGAGGACATTGGGCCCCGAAGGAGGATGGATTGTGAGACCCCACACTGGTTGGAGAGGGAAACACGTGTTAGAGTCCAATGTCCTATCTACCCTCATTTGAGGCCCAATGTCCTTGTTGGCCCTCGTTCCTCTCTCTAATCGATGTGGGATGTCACATTCTAGGGAGAGTTTTCCACACTAAATGTTGCGTTCTCCTCTTTAACCGATGTGGAATCTGACAATCCACCCTCATTCGGGACCTAGCGTCCTTGCTAACTGCATCAATTGGCGAGTGCTAGCAAGCACGTTGGGCCACAAAGGATGGTGAATTATGAGATCCCACATCAGTTGGAGAGGGGAACAAAACATTCTTTATAAGAGTGTGAAAATCTCTCTCTATTAGACGTGTTATAGAAACCTTGAAGAGAAGCCCGAAAAGGAAAGACCAAAGAGAACAATATCTACTAGCCGTGGATTTGGGCTGTTACAAAAAATCAATATGTCAACATATTAGGTTTAGAATCTACCTGTGCGAACTTCTCGAGAAAAGGGTAAACGTCGAAACGAGAAACCCAACGACGAAGGATACCCTTTTCAGTCCTAAAGGGCACCCTTACAATCTTGGAGTAATTAGTGCCAAGAACAGGTTCTATTTCTTGGTTGCACTTAGTTCCCTTAGCATCCGGTATAAGTCTCGTAATCTGCATACACAAACTTTTAAGTTTAGCGGTGATTTAACATAGTATCATCGTATTATTTTTATCGAACACTTACGATAATAATTTGAGGCTTGAAATCGAGGCCTTGTTGCTTAATTCTAAGAACAAGTTCTTCTTCCATAGCTTTAACTTGATCAAGAATGTACACAACCTAAACAATCACATCGTATGAATAGTTTCTTATGATTCCGATATCATATGGTTTTAGAAAACAATATCTATTCGATCCCGAGATCGACGAACACTCGTACCTGGCCTCCGGTGTCGGGCAAGCCAAGAACATCAGCTTGACCAAAGTATCCATGAGGAGACAAAATGACAACATTGAAAACATTAGGAAGTCTACTGAAGAACTTCTCCATTTGGATTGGATCATAAGCTTGGAATATTTCAGACAGACATCTTATGGTTTCCTTTACTCTTCCTGCACACTCCCCCCATCCTCTCTCAAAGCCCCATTGCTTGAATCTGATTCCCGTTACGAGGGAGCAGAACACGTAAATTAGTTAATATCGAACTCGTAACGTTACCTCTTTTAGGGTTAGTATAAGGTATATATTCGGAATGATCTCTCGTTCTCGAATATTTTTCTTAGACATGAAGTTAAGAAGAAAATAACTTTACGAGAATTCAAATTTACGACTTTGTGCTAAATAATTAATGGGTTAGGATATATTATTAACCGAAAGCGATTAGGGTTACTCACTTGAGATAGAAGTTTTCGTAAGGGGTGTCGGGAGGAAGTACGGAGAGGAAAATATCAGCGAGAATTAGTGCCATTTGGAGCTTGGAAGCTGTGTTCAGAGTCTCGTTTATCATAAGTTTCTGTGACAAATTAATTTCACCTTTAGAGAGAAAGATAAAAGAATAAGGGTGTTTGTGGGTTAAGTTGAGTTGGGTCGGGTTGAGACATTTTCTAGACCCAACTTCCATTTTGAATCATCAATTTTTTTAACACCCATCTGAAAAAAATCACGAAAAAACGAGCACGATTTTCAAAAACGCGAATTTTCCGTACCTCTCCTTGATAATCAAGGGACAACAAGTAATCCACAAGAGGTTGTGAATTTTCCAACTTTCCACTAAGCTTTGAGGTGAGGAACTTTGTGGTATAACTAACGCCTTCTCCAATTGAAGAGGGAATGGTTAAGTGAGGAGTTGTGAATTCAATGGCTCCAAAATCCACTTCCAATGCATTTTCATCACTTGCCCTACAACATAATCCATATACTTAGACGTTTAAAACAAGAAACTTAGTAATAATAAGCACGTTTTCGTACCATTCTTTGTCATATATCGTCTCCTTTAACTTAAGAAATTCAGCTGAAGTGAGAGATTTAACCGAGAGATCGAGAGAGTTGACTTCAACGAATTCCCAACATCCCGGTTCTGGTCTTATGGCAAATGAAACATACGGAGGAATGGCTATTGCTACCTATGCATGACAACATGCAAAATCAAGGGTATTTTTACTATTTACGTTTTGTCAGGTATCGTGAGTGAACATCAATTAGACGAACCTGAGTAGAGGCCAACATAAGACCGAGCACGCCCTCCATGATCCTATTCCTCTCGGTCGTATCCTCAATGACAAGCTCCATCTCCTCGATCAATTGCTTGACCTTCAAGCTCCTATTCCCCTTCTCCACAAACTTCCCAAAGCATCTCTTCATATAGTTATGGCTTTGCCTCAAGGCCTCCGGCATCCCATTAGCAATCAACTTAGCACCACCGTTGGCATTGCCATTCACCATTGAAGAAGCCATGATATGATGATCAGCAAGATATGCAAGAAGAGGTCAAGCCATGGGGCATTTATAGGAGACCCCAAATGGGTGCATTGGGTTGCGAAAATGGTGCCTTTTTTGGTTGAAGACAAGGAGGAAGAACATTCTTGGAAAAAGGGGAAAGAATTATTTGTGGGTGTGAAGATGCCCTTTTCTCTCACGCAATGGGGATTGTTTTGTTTCATGTTAATTCATTATTCTTTACTTGTATTCAGTGATGACTGCAAACCAATTCAATTTCAACCGATCTTTCCATGTTTCTCCTGCATTTTTATACCATTTGTGTTGATACAATTCTCAACAATTTTAGCTTAACAATACTTTAGTTTCGGTCGAAAGATAGAAGTAAAAGAAATCTCACATCCACATTTGAAGTGATCCGTCTTTACCGACCCAGGTTCTTTGCTATATGTATGTTGATAACATTTTCGGTCCACATTTGATGTTTTAGGGTGGGAAATGGGAAGAGAATGGAGGGAGATGCTTCTTTGTTAGCTAAATAAAACTAGGGACCGAATTTAGTTTGAGTTGGTGGGTAAAGTTTAAGAAGTTAATCATAAAAAAAAATTTACTATTAGCATACATGAATCTAAGAGAATGAAAGAATATTAATTATTCCATTGTGGGAATCTTATTTTCAAAAAGAATATAAAAAGGAAAAAATAAATATTCTATGAATGTACCTAAAGGAATAGAGATATATAAAACGTACGGTTAAAACGTTACATTTATTTTATTTTTTTTATCGGTTTTTTTTCTTTTAAAAATTATTTATTCTCTCCAATTCTATTGGTGATTATTAATAAATAAATAAATCAACATTGTTTTTTTGAAAAAAAAAAATCTAAGAGAATGTTAAAGAGTAGACATCAATTAAAATGCAAGTATATTTTTAAATTTTTTTGGAAAAAAATGAAAGTCGAATTATGAGTAGTAATTTTTAAAATTAGCCTGTGTTAATAATTGCAATCAATAAATATTTATTTATATAATTATAATCAAGTTGTGATCAATTCATTATATCAACTAATTCAAAAAATGATAAAATCTTTCAAAAAAAATAGCAAATAAATACAAATGAAATACAAATTAATAATAATCAAAAAGAAAAATTAAAACATAGAATATATTAGAATATGCGGCTACCCATCACATAGATTTTGTTATTTTTAAAGAAATCAAAGAACCTAAAACCAAAAAATAGAGGAGATCCTTAGAGAATTAAAAACAGAAGATGAACAAGATATCTTAAAGGACTTGTAAAACAATTTTGATTGAGAATTTCATTTTGAAAAGACATTGCACTACGCAAAAAGCTATGTGCAAAATGAAGCAAATGGCTTTACGGTATCTTATCGTATATATTATATATAATATTGTACAATTGGCCAATTTTATATTATACTCTAAGATACAAGTAATATTAAGGCATAAACAGTTTTAAATTTTAAAAAATTGAAAATAATGCACAATCCATTGATTCCTTACGGGTTTAAAGTGAAAATGTAATGTTGAATTCTTGTTTAATCCATACTCAATCCTCATAAACAAACATGCCTAAAGAAAGAGAAACCACATTCTTACCCTTTACCCAAAATACATTATCATCTTGATTCATCCCTAAAATGTAATAACCATATGTGAAGGCAAACAAATAAATATGCACATATAGATGTATATACAATTAGAAAGTAGGTAACAAGTGTACATATAAAATTATGAGAAAATAAAAAACTGGCATAAAATTATGGAAATAAACTACAATAAAATAATTAATCATGTTGACGATGGAGGATTTACATTTAAGGTATGATGATAGGATCCATAACGCAGAGAAGTACAAAAGGATGCATTAGAGGAGCTCCAAGGTTATCCACGAATTTATATATGAAAGTGAAACGAGGAGAAACGGATTAATATTGCGATTACTCCAAGCCCTTGAAAAATTATACACAAAGGTAGAACATTCATACGTTGCGAGATGGATGTGAAAGTCACGTATTATATAACATTGGTACAGGAATAACAGGAATAACAATATGAAAGAACTATTAAACAAATATGACCTTAAACTTCACGACGAAATAGCAATTCGCTGAAAACAGGAACAATATTATTAGAATATTATCAAAACAATTTTGTATACTCAGAAAAAGGTAGGTAGTTAGCAATTGATTCCATAAATGAATCAATGTGCCCCTTTCAAAACTTATACCAGGCTGAAAATTGTTACGAATTCATCCAGAAGGAAATTGATCACAAGCAATCTAGATAACGAACTATAAAAATTAAACCGCCTCAAATCTAGACTCACAATGCGAAAGACGTTAAAAGCACATAAAAAAGATAAACTAGCTGTGTCTAAAACAACAAAAAGAATAAGGATCTTCTTAATTCTAATCTTAAAGAATATAAACGGATATGCTGGAAGATGGATCAGATTCAAAGTGCTAAGAGCACCAGCAAAGTATAATCAGCGTCGATCGTTTGGGGAAAGTATCATCACTTCCATCTTCAGAGAACATAAACAACTAATATCACTTGAAAACAGACGTTTCATGTCAAAATAATCAATGAGAAAATAAAATTTAAGCAATGGATATTCCAGGGAAGAGAAAACAACTAAATCAAATCGAAGAAGATGGATCAGACAGAATGTGATAAAGACACCAGCATAGTATAATCAGCGTCGATCATTTGGGGAAAGTATCATCACATCCAACTTCATTCGAACCAAAAACAAACATCTATATGCGCTCAATTAGCAGTAAAAACAGCATTAGAATCGAAGAACCACAGCAGTTGCTTCCAAGCATTAAAATAACTCAACTACAGAAGCCAAGGGAACAATAAATGGAGAAAATCAATTCAATTAAGATCGAGGAAGATGGATCAGACAAGAGTGTGGTAAACACACACCAGCATAGTATAATCGGCGTCGATCATTTGGGGAAAGTGTCATCAATTCCATCTTCGATAAATAATCATACATTTCATACAACTAAAAACATGTAATCACACAACCATATAAATCAATAGTGGCTTTAAATTTATCCAAAACTGCAATTCAGCGGCTAACTTCATAAAGAAGCCATGAAAACCTCTGCAGTTCACAGAATTGGAACAGTTATCGCGTCGGCTCATACGAAGCAGCCGATTATGAAACGAAGTCTCGCGGTTGCTCGTAATCAGTATTCGACGCCAATAAATCCACTACTAAGAAATAGAAAAGGACTACCCGATATGAATCAAAACCCTAATTCCAAGCAGAGAAGAATGGCCGTATGATGAAGATAAAGATTAAGAAACTTATATATAGAAGCAGAGAGACGAGAATGTCGGCTTCCAAACCCTAAAATCGCATTTTAGGTTTTACAAATCTCATGACACGTGTACGGTTTTGATTTATTCTATATTTAACTAACGAAAAGATGAGATGAGTTCATTTTAATTAATTTTAATTTAACTTATTATTAATTTATAATAAAAAAAATATTTCGAATGTAATTTTTTAAAATATATATTAAAATGGAGATGTATATTATAATTCAATGTTTTAAATAAATAAATAAATGTTTTATACGTTAATAATCTTTTTTGTTTTTCTTTTTTCTTGTAACAAAAATTTGAGTAAATTACCTAAAATAAAAAATTGGATTAGATTACACTCGGGTATTCATATAATTTAAGAACCCAACTAACTCAAACTATCCAACGTAAATCATAAAAGATTGTGTTAGGTTATTTTTTTTTTTTTTTAGATTTGAGTTGAGTTAAATTTTTTAAAAATCGAAAATTTGAGTTTGTGGGTTGACATTTTTTTTTTTTTTTTTTTTTTCTTTTAAT